GCATCCGATAATACATAATATCTTTTACTCAGTAATTCATTTACACAGGTTTCTTTTGCCCAGACTCTTCAATTTGATCTCAGAAGTTCTTGCAATAAATAGCGCAGGCATAACTAATTATAATTTGAAAACATTTTTTTTTATTTCAACAATTAACAAATCCGAGCCGCCTTATTTTTCTGTTACATTTGTTCAACTCCTGGATCATTCCATATCAAATCGATCGATAGTTGGAATCAACCCCTTTTCGATTCGGACAAATTTTGGTCTGAAGTTTTCTTTTATCATGTAATAAAATTCTGCCAAAAGAAAAAAAATAAAAAAAAATTTTTTTAGGATCAGTACAAGGTATTATACAAAAAAAAACTAAGCTAAAATTTTAATGTCAATCGTCATTTTTGACGATTTTCAAAAATTCAAAATTTGTTTGACATTTTTCAAAATTTTTTTCCAAAATATTTTTTTTTTCAATATTACCAAGTGTCCCTTTTTAAACAAACGAAAGGCCATTCCTGTATCTATAATATAGCGTTCGAGATATTACAAAAATGAAATTCAAAAACTGTAAAAATCACAAAATTTTCAATTTGCATATTTTTTGAAAATATTTTTTTTTATTTTTTTTTCTTTTGACAGAACTTTGACAGAAAGGGGTCGATCTGACATGGAATGGCCCAGGAGTTAAACAAATGTTACAGAAAAATAAGGCGGCTCGGATTTGTTAATTGTTGAAATAAAAAAAATGTTTTCAAATTATAGTTAGTTATGCCTGCGCTATTTATTGCAAGAACTTCTGAGATCAAATTGAAGAGTTTGGGCAAAAGAAACCTGTGTAAATGAATTATTGAGTAAAAGATATTATGTGTTATCGGATGCCTGTATAATAGAAATTCTATATCATTGAAACTCTGGGTAAAAGATGCACTGTATCATAGAAATCTGGGTAAACGAATTCTAGGTAAAAGAATTGTGTCCAATACTAGGTCTGAGCAATTGGATTATGGGTCATTGATGTCCACCCAATTCTAATTAACAGAAAACATGAATAGTATGAACAACTGACATGAACAGTCAATAGTAAGCAAATTGACATGTATATATAAAGAAACTCACGATTGTCCTGCAAACTTGTGGTTATGGAATAATGGTTGTCAAGTCCTAACCAAATTACACGAAAATCACGACGAAAAAGAGGATGAAGAAAATATCGATCCAAGGGGTTTGCATCATAACAACAATGGACTGAAGAATCTTCAACGTAAACGGTAAATAAGTGATTCGTTTTAAGTAATAAAAAAGCTAACAATAATAATAGTTACATTCTTAAGTAATTGATAAATTAATTTTTATATGTATTACAGGGGTGGAGAAAAATCTAGCCATCGTCCAATGAAAATGCCCAAACGTGGATCGAAACCTCCAGCCGTGCCTAAAACGCTGGCAAAATTAGAGGATATGCTCAATAATTATCCATTGATTAAGCATTACTATCAAGAATCTTTGAGTACCGCTGATGATGAGTCAGCTTTTATTTTCGCTGACAAAGATATTCTTGAACGACTACATACCGAAAATATAATATATATCGATACCTGTGACCAAGTAAGTTTGTCATTGCTTATTTAATTTATTTACTTTGTTATATTAGGAACATTTATGAAAGCATGTTTCTATTCAGAATTTTTTAGTGTCATTTGCATAAAAAGTAATACGTATAATTATGTATATTGAAATTTAACGTGATAACTATAATTTATATATAGTTAAAAAATTAATGGAATAATTTTCGTTGGTATTAATAAGTTGATTTAATTTCAATACATGCGTAATTGTTTCTTATCAGCTACCATTTGACTGAATTTTTGGCATAAAAAAAAAGTCAATAATTTTTTATTACATTCGGGATAAAAATTACAGTATATACGAAATATTATATAATTTCAAAATATTAATAATTACAATTCCGAATTGTGTGCTGATTATAAAATGAATTAAAAATTTTGTAAACTATGAAAATGACTATGACTAAAATCTCTTAAAATTCTTGAATTTATCGGTGTACAAATATAAATATCAAATAAATAATTAAAATATCTTGAATTTTCTTGGAATTTGAAATTTCTGTACTTGTCGTTTTAGCTATCCGAAAGTCAAGGGGTATATCGTTATATCTAAAGACAAAAAAAAAAAATAAAAAGTAGTTTTTCCTTTCCCAAGACTTTTAGATTCTTCAAAATTTTGAAATTTAACTAGTTAAGATTTTGATTGCAAGAATTTGTAAATTTTTGGTAGAAAAAAAAATCACAAAAACTTTTCATAAAAAAAATTATAAATTTTAATTTAAAAAAAAAAAAGGTAGTAAAAACCAAATTTGGAAATATCAATTAATAAATTTGAATAATTTGTAATTCTTAAATAATTTCTTAATGATTAATAACATTGTTTTCATCATTTAAATTTGAATAAATTTATTCCAAATTATTAAAATTTATTGAAAAAAAATTTATTCAATCGCACCACAATTTAAATTTCATATGATAATTAAGTAGACTCTACGTAGCTGCTAAAAGTTTAATCACAGACCCATTGTAACACAAATTTATTAGTCTCTTTTCTTTCTCGCGTTTGATTCTTGACCTCTTAACCGAATCCTTTCTTTTAATACTATCTAACCAAAGTTAAGGAATTTTACAGTCTGAAAAACACCAAATAACTGTTTTATAATATTTACAATTATAAAAGTAGCTAAGTAAAATCGAGTACATTCAAACGAGGCATGCAGGATTAATCAACAAAATTAATTAAGCATGAGTGAAATATTACAATGTAACATAACGATGTTACGTTTTATGTAACATACAAATTAGATCAGTGAACAACCCTAAAAATACGACAATTTGCCTAAGCCGCATGATAATCAATTGATTTGTACAAGAGATATTGTTTGCAATTTCTTATGAAATCATTTGGCAGGAAATTAGTCATGTTTTAGTGTTCAAAAAATTTTTTCGAAAGTATAATCGGGAAAGATAAAATGTTCATCGTATCAAGCATTGAATAGCAGGCGGGGTTGTATTTTGCCACATCCTCTTTTTAAATGTAAAAGGAAAAAAACGCGCGCAAGCGCGAGCTGGAATTGACACTTGTATTTCTACTCTTCATTTTATTTTTATTATGAGACTCAACTACCACAGGAAGCATAATTGATTCAGCCTGGAAAGTAGAATGTTCATGAGAACAAATAATTTTTTCAAAATATACCGAGAAAGTAGGTAATTTTTGGCCTATAACGATAGTTAGATGTACTAATTGAAGCTTATCTCATTCAATACTTATTACACAAAAAAACATTAAAGAAAGAAGAAGCTAAGAAAATATTGTATGGTTCAAAAACGACAATGTCTAAGACTATACTTAACATATACGTGTATAAATTTTCGCACCAATAGTATTTTAAGCTATAATTTAAGCTTCCATACTTATGCTTATACTTTGAGCTTCAAGATAATTTTTTTTCGTTCATTAATATGTTTAAAAAACTATATAATATTTCAAGCATACAACTTTTCAAACAAAAAATTTACTAAATTTTTTTCAAACAAAACTTCAAGTTCGTTTTCAGACTTATTATATAAATAAATAAATTGAACAGTACCTTATTATTAATATCAAATTTTTTTTTTAATCTATTGAGTTTAAAGAATTTTGCCAGACTCCTGTCAACGAAAAAATAACTTTTATTTATTATAAACTAGCCTTAATTAACTTTGCATGCATCAAAAATATTTTCCCTATGACAAAAATTGTTTCAATTTAAAATATAGTATTTAATTTAAAAAAGTAATTTAGAAAAATTAGATGATCTTAAGCAAACAAAAGAATTTTTAATTTTACTATCAAAGTTATTTTTCCATTTGATTGAAAACAATAAATCAAATTTTGTTTTTAATCAGTGAAAAAAGCTACTGTTTGAATGGGAGGAACATCCAACTCTTTTTTTTTTTTATTAATTTGCAAATCTAGTATCGGTACCACTTCAAATTTTATTACTACTACTATTATTAGTTCACTATAGGAATCACTGTATTTCAGTTGATTCGTCTTTATTTAACTTTAATTTTTTTAAACCAATCTACAAAAAAAAATTACCTCTATATACAAAAATGTTAAATTCTTTGTATTGTTTGATCTATTACAGTTAATACCTAAAACACCCAAAATCAGCACATTATTAATGATTCTTGCACAGCGTGGTGATAAAGTAAGTTTTTTTTTCATATATATACCTTCCACATGAAATTAACTTCATGATGGTTAAACATTGAATCATAATTTTCATTTTTCTTTCCTTCAGTCCTTTCCAATCATGCTATGCTTATGCAGTGGACGATCACAACCATTATTTTCCGCAATTTTTGGCTTTCTTCAACAGCAGGGACCAACATTATGCAACAATATTGACACAATTGTTTCATCTTTAGAGAAAGAACTGATCTCCTCCATCAGAGAAAGTTTTCCATTAAAAAATGTCAGATATGACTGGAAAAATGTAGTTAAGGTAAATGAAAAGTTCAAATAAATAATTTAAGGAATTCAAAACTCGTATAGAGTTCGCATTTTAAACCACATAAGGTAAAAGCCCTAATTATTGACACTATGAGAAACAAAGTTATGATTTCATTTTTTTTAAGAAATCAATTATTAATATCGTTGAATTTTGTTTGTGGTAATCTCTCAAGTGATGTTTTTACTAACCAATTTCTTTTTTTTTTTTAAATGATAATCAGTAATATTTACTAATTAATGAAATAGAGTATCTGGTTATAACAATTATTGAAAGGTTAAAAAACTGATAGATGTAATTATTGACATGCATTAACCCCAATTATAGAGACCTATACCGCGGATGTGTCGAATCATCTGCTTATTCTTATTTATCGAAAGTTATTATTAAGTAATCAATATTAGTAAAGTTTATTAATAGTAATTTCCATAAATGTTTAATTACATAATTACTATTAAAAATATAAAAATTAATTTTAAAATAATTTATTGAATCAGTAGAGTTCAAGCTCTTACAGTAAATTTTTTAGAGTAAAAAAAAGGCGTCATAGTTCTGTCGACTGGCTGTCAATATGAGATTCAACTTAAAAATTCTGAACTAGTTATTGACACCTATTATGTGAATATTAAGAAATATACAATTAATTTCGATTTTTCATTTTTATAAAATTCTGATATAATATTTGTTAAGAAAATAGACGCTCGTAAGCTGGTTTGATGAACTGGTACTAAGTTTATTTTTTTTTTAATAATTAACATTTAATATTTTGAACTGGCAGTAATTTTTTTTAATTTTTAAATTAATTAGTATTTAATAAAAATTTATTTGATAGTTATTCTTATTACAGATCATTAAATATACTTAAAAATAATTTAGGGTGTCAATATTTACACCCCTGTCAATAATTGGAGCTTTTACCTTATTTGATAACTTTCAAATAAGATAGTATAATCATAATTGCTCTTATTTTATGAATTTAAGAATTTGACTCGGGAATGGTGCCAAAAAAAAACTACCGATATTGAGTCGAGATGATGCATTAAAGTTCTCATGGGCACTACTATTGGTTCCTATAAGTCTTCGAGAAGAAGCTTTTAAGAAAATTTTGGAAGAAGCTGAAAAAATTGAAGATGCTTATAAAGAGATGCCAAACTATTTAAGATATCTACAGAGATTGGACAGAATTTTAAAAAGTTCCGGACCAATAAGAGTGATAAATATCACAGGAACTTTCGCTCAAGACTTGATCGAGCAGTGTGGAACTGGGGACCTATCGATATTTACATTATTATGTGAGACATTTATTATTTATTATAGAACGACTTTCAAATCTTATTGTAGTGAGTTTATGTAATTTTTTATTAATTGCTTGATATTTTGGTTTAGCGACAATGAAAAGTGCTCTGCAAAACGGGTCACTGCTTTTAAAATCTACTCAGTCTAGTACTCCAGTGATTGATCATTTCTCAAATCAGCACATAAGTAATTTGAGAAATTCAGTCGAAACAGGACAAATAACAATCGAAACTTTCTTGATCGAAGTGATAGAGCCATATATGAACGAGCTAATTTCACAAATTAAATCGAGTCAAAGTAAGATTAATATCATTTCACATCGTAATTAATATCGTTTGATTGTTTTCAAAAATAAATTTATCTCATTTCATGCTATTTTTTTATTTATCTAGAGTCCGATATTAAGTCACCAGTTTTCAAAGAGATCGAGGATCCTAAAAGAGTCAAAGATGAACGCAATAGGTATCGAACTTCGAATGAGATACAACCGGTAAATGTGAACAGAATTGATTCCTTTCGTAAGACAACCAGCGCTACAACAAAAGGTATTGGAACATTTGGGATGACCCAGCAGCAGTCATTACCGGCTTTTCAAGCGCGAAAAACCGTGCTGCGTCAATCGAATAAAGATTTAACACCGTCTGTAGATTACCTTGGACCACGAAGTACATTCACAAGACTGAGATTAAATAATCCTTGTGCTACGGCTACGTATGTTCCTAGTAGTTTAAAACACTCTACACCGCAAAAAAAACCAGTTGGCGCTAATCCTACTCTAGGGTTTTCATTGGAGAGCGCAGGTACAGATTATTGTCGTGACCAGGAATGCGATCGTGGTAATGATTTTTTTTTTTTTTCATTTTATTAGCTATTCACATAGCAACTATTAACCGCAATAAAAAAAACAATAATATATTTATTATATTTCCAGAATTTGAAAGAACACGTCGAAGCCTCGGAACTATTGGTGAAGATGAGTTCCCTGATTATCGACATGAACTGAAATTCAAATCACGTTTTCCACAATTACGAAATAATGAAGATCCAACTTGGAATGTAAACACCACCAGCACTGGAATGAAAAGTTTTGGCACCTTTGGGAAGACCCAGCAGCAGTCGTCACCGGCTTTTCAAGCGCGAAAAACCGTGCTGCGTCAATCGAATGATTATCTAACACCGTCTGTAGATTACTCTGGACTACGAAGTACATCCACAAGACGGAGACTTAATATGTCTTGTGCTACGGCTACGTATGTTCCTAGTAGTTCAAGAGACTCGACACCGCATAAAAAATCAGTTTCCGTTAATCCTACTCTAGGGTTTTCATTGGAGAGCGCAAGTACAGATTTTCGTCTGGACCAGGAATCCGATCGAGGTAATTATTTTTTTTTTTAATTTCACTTGCCGTTCATGTCATATTTCGCATGCCAAAATATAAAAAGGCGCATAATTTTTTTTTATGACCAATCGACTGGTAGGCACATTCTTCACCTAAAAATGAATTATTGATTTACTAACGCTAAACGAGCGTGTGTAATTATGCGCCTTTTTAGCTTCAGGAATTGAAAAATTTTATGATCTAAAGCTAAAGGGGCCTATAAATTTTTTTTTTCTAAGCAATTCATTTAAATGTTCATTTTTAGCCTAAAATTAAAAAAAAATGGTAGAATCATAAAGGCGTACTTTAACTACATACACTCCTTTAAAATTACAGTTATAAATATTTTTGAAAAATTGCAAAATATGCGTGATTGCATTAATTTGTTTTTATTTGAAAATTAATTTAACCACATTAGTTGTTCAATTATTAGCTAATTTCACAATTAATTAATTGTTTCATTTTTTATAATTTTTACCAATTTTTTGAAATTATTCAGTGTGTAAAAAATAAACGTAAAATCTTTAAATATTTCATTCTCGGCTGTGAGTTTTTGGATACATGCATGCGGGTCGCTAGACTCAAGTACCTACTTTTATGACTCTGTCCGCTGAGGTCATATAAATGCAGCCTCTTGTTCTCTTCGTCACCCGAGCGCTCATCTGGTTCGATTTAAAATATTTTCCGTTTTCACTTTCCCTTTTTTTTTATATGTAATATTTTTGTCAACGTATTTTTCTTAACAATATTTCTCGGAAATGTACCCCCAATAATAAAATGAAAAGAGTCTCTGTACTCTGTTGTGCATAAAATACTACCAAAAGCGTCAGTCCAAAAGGATCTCTCTAAGCGACAACTACATCGATTGCAGTCAAGTTCCAATTTCAAATCGAATACTTTTTCTTAGCATCTCTTCTTTTAACTAAGCACCAATTCTTAAGATCTACATTCAAGTTTTCTTAATCGCTGAGTTTCACTTAAAGTGAATTGTGAGGTGAAATATCAGTGAATTTTCATCAATCTGTGATTGAAGTTCACTACGACGTCGATTCACCACCATCACCACGACTCTACAGCCATCAGCTCAGACCGCTACATTCAATACATTCATTATTCGTTCAAGAGCTCAAGCAGCACATGGTATTGTATTTTAGTAAACCTAAAATACCAAAAAGGTATGAACCAAATTTATATTTGCATGCATATTCAATACAACACTTTCCTCAGCGTCAGGAGGATGTCGGTCCGGCATTCAGCCCCAAACGGCCCACCGGTGCTGAACTGAGTTACTATTTCATTTCACATTCAAATATAATACGCTTATTATGATATTGCACATCTTTCACATTCCATGCATAATACAAATACTGAGTCTGAGTCGAGTTGAGACTTCACGAGCAAGTTCTCCAACTATTCATGTACAGTGTCACTTTGAGCCCCTGCTGAGCCGAGTTACTATTTCAATTCATATTCAATTACGATACGCTCTTTGTGATGCTGTACATATTTCATATTTCATGCACAATACAAATACTGAGTTTGAGTCGAGTTGAGACTTCACGAGCAAGTTCTCAAACTGTTTATGTGCAGTGTCATTTTGAGCCCTTTCTGAGTTACATCCCATTACATACATGAAATTCAAACGATTATCGAGATTGAACTACTACAATCTATACAAATCAACTATTCCTACCAACTTCCTTTCATTCTTCGATTTCACATAAACTTCATCCAATCAATGCAAACCTATTCAAAAATCTGAATCTCAAATTCGAATCATTACCCGATCATACAGTCCACTATCTCTCCACTTTCAATTTCTCGCAATCTTTATTCAAATTCACAACAAGCTACATTGTTCACTTCGATTTACAGATCATTTTTAAAACGAGCGTACGAGCTTACAAGCGAACGAGCGAACGAGCGTACGAGCGTACGAGCGAACGAGCGAACGAGTAAACGAGTGAACGAGCAAACGAGTGAACGAGCAAACGAGTGTACGAGTAAACAATTACGCGAAACCGAGTCCACGAATTCATTCCGAACTCCTTTCACCTCCATAAGCCAGTTTCGCACGGTTGGAAGTCAGGCTCCCTCCAGAGATCATCTCCAGGCAACCACAAAGGCTAACTTCACTCCAGTTCAACTTCCTCACGATCTTGTTGGGACCAGATTCATCAATATTAAATACATAATATTATTGTTATTAAAATTGTATTAAAAAAACATACATTTCGAAATACATAATCAAACATTAGTTTTCAATTAATTTATTGATCCATTGCTTGTATAAAATAGTTTTAAATTATTATTATTTCAATATTGTTTGAGTACTTAACAGCCGATCTTCTCTTTTTCTCGCGGTACACTAACTACAGCAAACGGTACTATCCTTGTTGCACTCATGATTATAAAACTATTGCAGTTTTGTGTTTTTCTTTTAAATAAATAAGAATTTCGAAAAAAACGCTTTGCTACAAAATAGATAATTGAATAACCTAATACGTATCAGAGCGTTTTTTTCAAAATTTTTTTTAGTCTAGGAGAGAAATATATAACTGCAATCGTACGGACCGGATGTTAAGAAATTTTTTTTTATTCATTAAATTTTTTTATTTCATGTCTTGTAAAGCTATTTATCAAAAATTTTTTATAAAAACTTAAATGTTTTTTATGCGCCCTTTTAGCTTTAGGCAATACTTTTCTAAAAGCTAAAAGGGCGCATGTATTGAGTTACGCCCTTTTAGCTTTAGGATGCTCGAATTTTTTTTTACAGGTTTTTGTGTTTTGAGTGATTTTAAGAAGAATCACAAAAAAAAATTGTTATGTGCCCTTTTAGCATGAATCCCTATTAACTTGTGGTCATGCACCCTTTTTGTATTAGGCACTCGATTTATCAACAGAAATGAACACGATGATTATGTATTTTTCTATTTTTCCAGAATCACGTCGAACATTGACTAGATATACGGATGCAGAATACCTTGAAGATTCGCTTATAATTGGATCTCTGGACACTGACGCTGGAGGTTATTTTTTAAACCTTATTATTTTTAGTGATTATATTTTAATTTTTTTACATCTAAACTTCACAAATTTATATTTATGCAGAGTTAGTGACTTTCAGCGAATATTGACGTGGTAGATATCCATGAAAGTCCCTCATCTGACAACGACGACGTCGCACATTCGATTCCAAGGTTGCTAACAACTCCGAATTCTGAAGTTTTACCTTCACCGATAGAATTTTCTACGGTTAATGTGGTTGCAGAGGTAATCGAAAATCCGCTTCACAACGAATCTACTGGCAGAGGAGATGGAGGTGATTTTCTAAACTTATTTATACGCAGAGTATTTAAATATTTTTTTATTGATGATTATAAATCTAATTTAATCAATTCTTTTTATTCAGGGTTATCGACTGCTCCAGTTAATTCCAGATCGCTGCCAATATCAAGTCCTGAAGTTCAACCTCCAGCTGAAGAATTTTCTACGAGCAATGTGGTTGCAGAGGTAATCGAGGATCCTCTTTTAAACGAATCTGCTGGCAGAGGAGAAGAAGGTGATTTTTAAAACTCATTTATTTATAGAGTGTACAACTATTTTTTTATTGAAAATTATATGTCCAATTTGATAATTTTTTTTTATTTTTATATAGAGTCTCCTTCAGGTAATGCGGCGCCAGATATACTTGAGGATACCCTTCGTCTCGGATCTGATGACAGTGATAATGAAGATAATCCTGGAAATTCAGGGACTGCCACCGCGCGACCTTCTGAAAATGACATTATCGTCATTGATTCATATAGTGAACAAGATGGTAAATTGTTATTCATAAGTAATTAAAAGTAATTATTCATAAGGTTGGCTAAGAAACCAATAATCAATTTTTCAAGTGTTACAAGTATTAACTTTTTACTTTGATTTCAAATATTTTCAGATGATGAAAACCAGCGCTGCTGCTGCTGTCGAGTAAATCGAGCGGTAATTGCGTACACCGAGTGTGGACACATGTGTGTATGTGAGCCCTGTTCCTTAAGAATTAGAGATGGCCGGTGTCCAATATGCCGGAAGAGGTCAAAATTTATCCGCATTTTTATGAACTTGTAATACTTTTTCATAATTATTATAAATGTATGATTTTTTTATCTGTAATACTTTTTTTTTTAATTTAATTCGAAAATTCAACATTTTCTGATAGATATGAGGATTGAAACGAATTTTTCTACTCGGTGCTTTGAAAGCAACTAAGTGCTTACATAATTTTTTAATTTTATATTACAATGTAAGGTTGTTACAATTTAATTAGTATTAATGAGAAATTATTTGCTACTACAGCAAAAAATTTTTTGCATGTAATAATATTCAAAAGTTTTTTTTTTGTAATAATTAACGTATGGTGTTCCATCTACAATTTTTTTTTTCAATTTAATTCGAAAATTTGAAATTTTCTAAGGAATATGTGTCTTAAAACGTATGTTTATGCTCAGTGCTTTATAATTTCAAATTTTCCAATTAAATTAATAAAAAAAAAAAATATTGTAAATAATAAACCATACATTAATTGTTACAAAAAAAAGTTTTGAATATTATTAAAAGCAAAAAATTTCTTGCTAAAGTAGAATATATTTTCGAATTGATACTAATTGAATTTGAACCTTAAATTATGAAAATAAAATTTAATATTATTTAAGTACTTAGTTGCTTACAAAGCACTGAGCAGAAGTAATATAATTAATGTATGGTTTTGCAACTACGAAATTTTTTTTTTTACCTTTATTGAAAATTTAAATATTTTTTTCTTTCTTTGTAAACAACTAAGTGCGTACATAATGTTTAAATTCAATATTAAGATTTAATGTTGTTAAAATGAAATTAGTATTAATGCGAAATTATTTTCAACCACAGCAAGAAATTTTTTGCAGCTACCCGATGAAAAAAGTTTTTGTCTAATTATATATGATCATATATAATTAGACAAAAACTTTTTTCATCGGGTAGCTGCAAAAAATTTCTTGCTGTGGTTGAAAATAATTTCGCATTAATACTAATTTCATTTTAACAACATTAAATCTTAATATTGAATTTAAACATTATGTACGCACTTAGTTGTTTACAAAGAAAGAAAAAAATATTTAAATTTTCAATAAAGGTAAAAAAAAAAATTTCGTAGTTGCAAAACCATACATTAATTATATTACTTCTGCTCAGTGCTTTGTAAGCAACTAAGTACTTAAATAATATTAAATTTTATTTTCATAATTTAAGGTTCAAATTCAATTAGTATCAATTCGAAAATATATTCTACTTTAGCAAGAAATTTTTTGCTTTTAATAATATTCAAAACTTTTTTTTGTAACAATTAATGTATGGTTTATTATTTACAATATTTTTTTTTTTTATTAATTTAATTGGAAAATTTGAAATTATAAAGCACTGAGCATAAACATACGTTTTAAGACACATATTCCTTAGAAAATTTCAAATTTTCGAATTAAATTGAAAAAAAAAAAAAAAAAAAAA